CCTACCTGCTGACTGACTTTGGAGAGGTGCCTCGTTCTCCTCCAGTGCTGTACGTAGACAACAAGGCCATGCTGGCCTTGTGTCGAGAGCAGAGAGTGGAGCACAGAACGAAGCACATTGCTCTTCGCTACTTCCTTGCTCGTGAGCTCCAGCAGCGTGGTCAGCTGCGTCTTGCGTACGTGGCCTCTGAGGCCAACACTGCTGATATCTTCACCAAGGCACTTGCGCCTTGTGATCATCAGCGCTTCTGTACTCAGCTTGGTCTTGTGCCTGTCTTGCATCACTTGCTCACCTCTTGACCTTGCTTGTACTGTTACATATATATACACCTGCTCTTGCTTGTCTAGCTTTCTATATATATATGTACTACTGCGTGTGAACTGGCCTTGTGGCCTTGAACTTGTGCTCGGAATGTCTGGTGACTTTGTGATCCACCCTGAGCTTGCTTTGCTTTGCTTTGCTTGACAGGTCTTGTGACCGCTTGTTCTCCCCCACTTTGCCTATGGGGGTGTGTTGGAACATTATAGCTTATGCTCTTGTGTAGGCTGTAGTGGGGTAGCCCATATGGGGTACAACCCAATTAGGGTTAGTACTTGTACCCAACAGTTTCATAGTTCATTCATTCTCGTTTCAATTCTCACATGAAATTCGGTCCTACTCGTTCTGCTTCGTTGGTGTTGACTGTCGCAGGTGTTACGTAAACGTTGTCGGCGAAGTTGTAGAAGGTTTCGGCGTTGACACTTTCGCGAGGGTTATCTTCGTCAAGGGGACGTCGAGGGAGCAGAACGGAAGGGGGCCAGCTTCTTTTCATGCGTTGGCCACATTTTGCTCGTCCCAGTCAGCTTCGTCCGCTGTTGAGGCGAAGGCTCGGTCACCACGAAAACCACCTATGGGATCTTGGTCCTCTTGCAGGTTGGCAAGGTATGTCTGGAGCGTGAGTCGTTCGTAGAAAATGACGTCGCGTGCTGCTACTGTTTCCTTGGAGTGGACGTCAAAGATTTTCCACGCTTTGTAGTTCTTTTCGATGCCGAGGTGTAGTCCCCACTGTGCGCGTTGAGAAAATCGGCCCGCTCGTGCTGCTGGGGGTCGGTACTGTACCATGCATCCGAAAACTCGTAACATTTTTGTGATGCCCTGTTTCCCTGTCCATAGCAGATGCGGTGATGCATTGTTTGGAAGCGATGATGACGACAGCAAGTTGTGCAGCATGACGGCGTGGCCCATTGCTGCAGGCCACTGGTGGTTCGGTAGCTGCATGCCACGTAACAGTTTGCGCATGCTGTTCTGCAGAGTCCTGTTCAATCTTTCTGCTACACCTTGCTGCTGATGGGCGTTGGGAAGAGAGAGGAGCTGCTTGATTCCCCTTTCCGCCAGGTACTGCTTGAATCGCTAAGAGGTGTATTCTCCTCCTCCGTCAGACTGGAAGCTTTTCAGCTTTACGCCCGACTCTCTTTCTGTTACTGGTAGCCAAGCAGCGAATGCTTCGAGGACCATGTCGCGGCCGGGTAGGTTTAGATGCCAGACGTAACGGGTGGCGGCGTCGATGAAGGCGATTGTGTAGTTGTATATTACTTGTCCTGGTTCCCGATTGTACAGGATGTCGCTATACACCTTTTCGAGTGATGCGTACGCGGGTGCGCTCGGGTTGTGATGAGGAGTGAACGGCCGATGCGGTAAGTCGGCTTCGGGGCAGGTAAGACATGTTCCTCGTGCCCGTTGAAGTTCTCTGCCGTCGAGTAGTAGTAACAAGTCCTTGTCAAGGACTCCTGCTCTTCTTGTGTTGTTTAAGACAGTGTTGCTTGGGTGTCCCATGCGTGCGTGCCAGATGTCTTCGGAGGCGCGGTGTCCGGGTGAGCGTTGATACGCGTCGGAGTTGGAGTAGAAGCTGGCGGTGAAGTTTGCGCTTCTATGGACTTCCCGTTGAGCCGGATTCAGCTGCTGTGCGGGTGTTGGTGGTGCTTCGTCACCGAGGACTGGTGTCGTTGTTGCTACTACTGTTGTTGTTCCTGCTACTGCCGATGATGTCTCTGCTGCTGCTGATGTTGTCTCTGCTGCTGCCGATGTTGTCTCTGCTGCTGCCGATGTTATCTCTGCTGCTGCCGATGTTGTCTCTGCTGCTGCCGATGTTGTCTCTGCTGCTGCCGATGTTGTCTCTGCTGTTGCCGAATGTTGTATTGCTACTAACGCACGTGTTCGTTGTGCTTCAGGAATGGTATGTGAATACCAAAAGCCTTCCGGACTGAACTCGGGGTCGAGATCCGGCGGGTGCGTCCAAGATGTGAAGGTGACGATCCTGTCACTGTCTGCGGTGCCCAGGTCCGGGACGAAATCTAGAACGAAGACATTGTTCTTCAGGACCGCCTTTCCAATGTAGAGGCCGCCCTTCCCGTGGTACAGCTTGAACTCCTGGGTGGTACTGTCGGCTTCCAGATGTATGCCTTTCGCCATCAACTGACTGACACTCAGTAAGTTGTAGCCAAGTCCTTCTGCTATTAGGACTTTGGACATTTGCAGTATGACATTCGTCTCTCGTGACTGAAGTTGCACTACTCCTTGTCGTCGTGTGCGCAGGTTCTTATTATTGGCGACAGTGATGACGACTTCTCGTTGAAGTTGGTGCTCGCGTTGAACGAAACGTCCTGAAGAGCACATATGTTGTCCGCAGCAACTGTCCAAGAACCATGTATCCTTCCCGGACGGCTCGCTTTGAGCGATGGCGGCGTACGTTGGGTTTGGTTGAAGTGACTCGCGGCGAGGCGTGCTGTTGTCGAGTTGTTCTTCTGGTGAGTAATATGGTGGTGACTCAGTTACGCAGGAGTCACTCAGCCTTGCCATGCAGCTGACGATGTTTCTTGTTCCTTTCGCAGGTTGTCCCGTCGATGTTGTTGAGACTTGTACTGAAGTTGTCGGATTTGCTTGCGTTGAGGCGACTTGACTGCTTGAAGGGCGAAGTTGGCGTTGCGGCGACGTTGACTGTTGTCGATTCGGGCAGTGCGTACGAGGATGCCCTGAAGTCTTGCAGAGGTGGCAGAACGGAGGTACGATTTTCGGTCGATTGTTGTTGTTGTTGTGGCGCCGTTGAGTGTGAAACGCGAATTCGGGCACTAATACATTTCTCTTGTATCGTTCTTCTTGCAGGTCCATGTCTTGTTGCTCAGCGTGGATTTCAGCGCAAAGTGCTGCTTCAGAAATTTTCCCGTGGGCTCGTAGTATGGCGCGAGTGGAGCGCTAGTGAGGACCAAGACCGCTGATGACAACCGTGACGAAGGCGTCCTCTGAAATCGATCCTCCACATCGAAGAAGCTTGTCGCGCAGCTCGCGGCAGCGACTGATATACGCCATTCCCTTCTCGCCTGGTTTCATTTCGATTGTTGTCAGCTGCGCCATTAACGGACTTTGGTTTACGCTGTCTGTTGCTTGATACAGGCTCTTCAAGTGATTGTACGCGAGCTCCGCGGAGTTGCTGTCAGAGGTCCACTGGTGATCCCCGATTGATCCTAGGGAAGGGTTACAGGCACGGTTGCCTGGGGGGTTATGGGCGCACTGACCCGCTACTTAAACAAGCCCTTTTATCCCAATGGTCTAGTGGTTGGGATTTTGAGATGGTATCAGAGCGAAGGTCTCGGGTTCGAATCCCGGTGTGTGCACTTCGGGCATCCCAGTGAGGGGGGTGTCAGAGGTCCACTGGTGATCCCCGATTGATCCTAGGGAAGGGTTACAGGCACGATTGCCTGGGGGGTTATGGGCGCACTGACCCGCTACTTAAACAAGCCCTTTTATCCCAATGGTCTAGTGGTTGGGATTTTGAGAGTTGCCGTAGCCTCGGTAAGACCGTATGTTTTGTTGTTGGGTTGGAGTGATGTTCCTCAGTAGTATCGTGTACGCCATCATCGATTGATAGGTGTACTGCTGCTTCTCATACTGTGTGCCGTTTGTTGGGTATGGCAGGGACCCGTTGAAGAATCCAAGGATTTGCGCTCCTTCCATCATCAGCTCGAATTCAAACGACCAGGTAAAGAAATCCTTCCCGTCGAAGGGTTTTGTCGTTTGCAGTTTTAGAACGTGCGCGAACTGCGACTGAACTTGTAGTGCGTCCAGCGTTCTCTCTTGTCCCGGTGCAGGTTGTGGTTGTGGCATGAAACTGACGGAGCCGCGCTGGGGCTCGTACGGAGCGAAGGTAGGTTGCTGTTGTTGATTTCCGCGTGCGTAGGATGAGCCATCAAGACTCATGGGCGTCACGTTGTTGTTGTTGTTGCTGTTGTTTGATTGCGCAGGTGCTCCTTGCTGATGCTGCTCGTAGAAGGACATGAAGGAGAAGAACTTCTCCATCATGCTTGGATCGAAGCCCGCGCCTTGGTTTGCGGGTGTTTCAGTAGACCCAGCTGCCGGTCTCGTTGTTGTGCCTTCCTCTGTCTGTAGGCCAGAGGCAGGAGGTGGAGTAGGAGTAGTACCAGGAGAGCCGTTGGAGGAGCTCCTCTCCTTTCTCGTAGACATGTCTCTTGGTGTATTAGGTGTTGAGGAGAGATAATTTTAACCCTAACCAGCTCTCATACCATGTTGGGCTGAGTGCCCCTTAGGATCTTTGGTAGGGTTAAACTCTGAGTAGAGTGATGTAGTAGCGGAAGCGTTTAAATGAAGTCCTTGAACCACCTTGCGCTAGCATGTGAGGGCAAAGTAAGTTAATTAAAACAAGCAAGTACAAAGGTTTATATAAGAGTACAGGGAATACGAAGAGATATAATTAAACTGTTTTGCTGTTGCGGTTCGATACAGTGCGACTCGGGCAACTGCTCAATGTCGAGTCAGTTGTGTGTCCTTGCTGTCGCGCTGCATTTGTCAAGTCAAAGGTCGCTGACCTTTGACTTTCGCGTAACCTCCAGTGGTTACTTCAACCTCCGAGGGTTGACTCGCTGGTGCCTCGATCGATATGCTCTGCTTCGCTTGTGCCTTGGTGTTTCGACACGACAGAGGCGCTTAAGTTTGTTTGTTCCCAACATCACTCACTCCCAAGGCCAGCCCGCAGCAGCGGCACTCCCAAGGCCGTTAGAAACCGATGCCACTGCAGCACCCGGTGTCGCCCTCAGCGCCACTGCATCATTAGCAGAAGAATTTCCGTCAAAAGCACCACCACTGGCAAACGCATGACCGGGGAGAACGTTCCTCCCAGAGCCAGCAGCTGTCACGATAACCTTCTCTAACTCCATCACCCGTCGCTCCAGAGAATCAACATAACCCACGGCTCTATCCAGCATAGCGCATGTGTCTCCTCGCCCCCTCACCTTTGCCCTCAGCCTCTGCAGCCCCTCACTGATCCTCTCCCTCCTCCGCCGCTCTGCCATGCTGCGCCTCTTGATCCTCTGGTTCGGCGCCGAACCACCCCGGATGCCTTGGCACCGAGGCAACCACCCGTCGTCCGGGCTGCACTCGCCTTGAGTGTTGCAGTGCTCGCGGCCCTTGGGATAATCCAAAGCATCGTCCGCATAGCACTCGTCGTGCATGTGGTATGCGCGCCCGTTGGTCTCGCTCTCAAACCTCACCGCACGTGCACGCTCATCCCGAGGCGACTTTTGAGTCGGCTCTAAAGCCACGTCGTATTCCCTTGTGCAAACGCCTTCCAGCACACCCTTCTGGTTGCCCCTCACATCTGGCACCGGGATATGAGGGTCTACAATCATGGCAGCGCCAAGGATAGACGCCCCTACGGCAGGGGGTTCCTCTGGGTTCGGCTGAACAAACGAGGCACTGGCCGGCCCGAGCGCGCTCCGGATGTAGCAGGCACGGGGGGTCTGGCTGGGGTGCTGCTGCGGCGTGTGAGCGACTGTAGCGCGGCCAGAGGGACCCCCTGGGCTTGGCCTTTTTCTCCTTTTACCAGCATCGTTCGCTGAGTTGGTGGCAGTGCTGCTGAAAAGGCTACTGCTGATGATGCCGTTTGTGCCTGCTGTCACGTGGCTATTGCGGACCGCTGCTGGGGTACTCATGGCACTGCTGGGGTTGGTGGCACTGCCATGCAGAGCAAACTTGGGGTGACTGCTGCCACTTCCAATACCGCCACCACCACCGCTACCGCCATCACTGCCACCATGGCTGCTGTTCCTCTCCCCAGCACGTTTTCCCATGCGCCCCCACCCGCCTCCACCACGAGCCAATCGCTCAGTGCCATCTGGACCGTATCTGGGAGCAAACGTGGAAGCAAGGGCGGTCTCCACTTGCTTTGCTGATGCTCCGGCCTCTGGAAGAGCCGAGAAGGCTGAAAGCCAGTGCTCCTCCTCCCCTCCGTCCAGCTGCTGCTGCTGCTGCTGCTGCTCCTGCGGCTGCTGTTGCACTTTCGGTGCCTGGGGGAACCCTGGCTGCTCTTGACTCACTGCCCTCTGCCCCTTCTGCCAGTTGCATAGGCTCTGCTTCTCCTTCTCCTCCTGCTTCAGATTCTCCTTGTGCTTCCGTTTCCGCCTGGATTGCTGCGACAGCTGCGGCTCCTCCGCCTGCTTGAGCGCCCGCAGGAGAGCCATGAGCTGCTGCCTCTCGCCCTTGCTGCTCCCCCCCATCTGCAACCTCGCCATTGCCCCGGTTGACAGCACCGCTTCCCCTGCCCCTGCCCCTGCCCTTGCCTCTGCCTCTGCCCCTGCTTCTGCCTCTGCCTCTGTCTTTGCCTCTGCCTCCCGCTGCTGAACTTCTAGCAGCTGTGCTTCCGGTTCCTGTGCTTGCTGCTGCAGTCGCAGGAAGCGTGCGAGGTGTGAGAGCCCAGCCAGCATGCGCTCAATCTGCACCTCCCCGCTCTCCGCTTTCACTGCAGCACCAGCAGCAGCAGTCCCAACTACAGCAGCAGCAGCTGTAGCCCCAGCAGCAGCAGCAGCACTAGGAGCATCAGCCCCAACAGGCTTATTCGAGTCTGCCAACGCCTCCTCCGCGTGTCCTCCACTCCGACTCGGAGTGATCTCCACACGCACCCCCCTGTCCACGAGCCCTCCCTCTGGCCCACCCACACAAGTCATCAGGGGTTCAATCAGCGGCTGAACCAAAGCTTCAGGCCGCTGCTCCACCAGAGGCTGTATGTGCAGTTCAATCGACGATTCAATGCCGTGCGGCTCTCTCTCGTGAATGCGTTGGCAGCCGAACGGCCAGACACGTCGCCCTGTAGGACGCTGCTCCGGGATCCAACGCTGCGAAGCCGGCGGGAACGTTGTGTGCGGCGGCGGCGGCGGCGGCAGCGGCAGCGGCAGAGGCGCGAGCGGTGCGAGCAGCGCGAGCGGCGAAGGGAGGTCGTCCATAGCGAAGAGAGCAGCAGCGAGAGAGTCCTCTGACGTTGTCGTCGCTCCACCGCCGCTGCTGGTGGTCGCTCCGTCGCAGTTAACCACGACTGTGCTGCTGCTACCGCCGGCCATAACAGTAGAGATGGCGGCTTCAGCCTTGTAGGTAGGAACAGAGCAGGCTGGTAACACCCTGCTGGTAAGCTCGGGTGGACGGGTAGCAAGTGGTTGTATGTAGTAGCAGGAGGAGTAGAGCGACGTGGTCAGGCAAGTAATTGCATTGCACGCCTGGTAGTAGTGAGGTGGTGAGGCGACAGCAGTAGCAGCAGCTCCGGTTTTGCTGCGTGGATTGGAGAATTTGGTGACTGTCGTGGTGGTGTCACCTTAGTATGACGAAGGCCGGTGGAGAATTAAAAGTAGGTAACGCCTTGCGAACTCTTTCAGAGACTCGTAATAGTTGAAGTCAGCGGTTGGGCCTGTGCGGGTTTTTGTTTGTGAAATGGGCAACGGACGATGAAGTGAGGAGAGCCGTCACAAATGTATCAGTAGAAGTCGGCAAAACTGGCACGAAATTAACGGCGAATGCAGAGCTGGTAGGGAAAGATGTTGTTAATCATGGAAGGTTTGAAACGCTTCTATTGCTATGTGATCTTGGGTGTAGTTCGATTTAACCCGGATTTCGTGAGCAACTAACCATTTGCGGGACACGTGAGAGAGTGAGTGAGACGGGGGATGCCGCGTTGCAAGAATGTTTACTGGAGAGTACCACGAATCGTATCCTAACGTGCAGCCGATACTCTTTACCGCGTTTGTTGCAATCGCGGCGCCACACCCATCGCGTGAACCTCCCCCGGACCGGGCTGGGCCAGGAACGGGTGCCCCTCCCCTTCCCGTCCCACACCCACATGATTGAGGGTGCCCCCACGAAGAGCTCTCGCACTCACTGTGACACTCTCGCCTCGCCGCATGTTCTGTTCGCCAGTCAACCGCCATCGCGTGGGATGGGATGGGAGGCACACAACAATGATTCCACCAGCTCGTACTACAGTCCAAACTCCACCGACAGTGGCAAGGCATTCGACTGTATCACATCAGGGATCACGCACGACCTATGTGCGCTGGCAACGCGCACGCGGCAAATCATGATGCAACGCGTTGAAACCTAGATGGTGGTGTGCACTGGAGGCTTAGACTGAAAGCCAGTGAGCTGGAGGGTGTGAGACGAGGAGATAGTGAGCCGGGACGGGAAGCCAGTGAGCTGGAAGCGCCAGCTGGACCCTAGTGGAACGCCGACACGGAAACTACTCTAGAAACCTGAGAGCCCGAGCGAAATTGCAGATCAAGAAAGTATACTGGCGACACGGCAAAACAAGGAGATTACCGCATAAATAATCGGTTTGTGAGTTTTCGTCCGGTCTTCAAGGCACTTCTGCCTACCATACCATGATCACACCACCAACTCTCCCAGTCTTGGCCCAGGGTTAGAAGGGGCACCACTCACGACACGACACGAAAGCTGGCGAACTGGCAAACATCTCGCAACAATGCTGCCGTCTGGAGTGGCGTTCGCTGCCGGAACTGGTAACCGTGCTTCGTAGTGTAGCGAGGAAGTTACAAATCGCATGTGCTTCGCGAATGCCGACGTGATCCACGTGCGTGTTCTTCTACCCCAGCCAGCTTGGATGATTGACGGTTGAGGGTGATTGGATGTACAAACTCCACGCTAGACGGTTGAATGAAAGTGTACGCTTTTGAGTCACTCCTGCCACAAGATACATAAAAGTATATTTCTAAATTTCTTTCTCCGTCACTATGGGCCTTCAGTATTTTTGTTTTACTGTAAGGAAAATCTCTTTTTCCTTACTTCGCGTCCCTGCTCAACGCAGCACTTCCCTACATCACTGTAGCACCACAGTCAGCACCGTTACCACTCGCAATCCTCGCATCGACAATCCGCCCGCCACCTTCGCACGTCGCACCCCGACCTCACGGCTCGGCGGGTAACCCGCGCTCCGGGCCTCCGCTTCGACACTTTTCCCAACCTCAGTCCCAGGCCTGTCGCGCGACAACCACAGTCCATTACCGTTACCACTGTAGTTTCGCTATATATTCTTCGCTCATGCCTTCGCTCATTGTACTCTTGCTTCGATAGTGCAATTCTCGTTCGTTCACTCAATTGCACTCGTAACACTTGGTATTCAGAGCCTACGATCTCCTCTCGGACCGCACCCACACCTTCGCTTCCCCACTATCTCAATTTTTTGGGGGGGTAGACGTCTCTCAGCGACACAGCACCGCCGCTCATAGTGCTCTCTTGTAAGCACGCACGGCCACGACCGAGGCTCTCGCTGAGCTCGCCCGACACCCCCGCCATGGCCGAATTCACGCTCGCCACATTGACGCAGGAGCATCTTGACCGTCTGGTGCGCCAACTTGAAGATTCGGCGCTCGAAATTGCGACGCTCACGGCGGAACGTGACTCCGCACGCCAGCAATCCACGGTGAACATTCTGTCAGAATATTATCTTATTGTTCTAGCCTGTAGTGGGGTGCTCTATAGCGAGTACAACCCTTCTAGGGTTTGCTATTTGTATCCTCATTCTTGCTAGTTCAATCCTCCTCTCTTTCTTTCTTCTAATTTTGACACATTCCAGCGCCATCACACGCACCGACAAATGCATCTGCACAATCGGACGAGCCGATCGTCATTTCGTCCGGCACACCAACGCAACACGACAGCGTGGGACAGCGCTCAGGCGCAGCCAGTGATGGCGCCGCCCAGCCGATGCCTGGCATGGGAGGAAACAGGGTCGCACCAAGCCCGCGGGAGCCTCGTGAAGCCCGTCGGCACGTGGAGTTCGCGGCGACAAGTGGCGAACAGGCCATTATGGCACCCATGCCACTCAAGCCGCAACGCCCGCCCTGCTTCGACCCAAGCCAACGTGGAGGTCCGACGGTTCAATCGTGGGTTTTCACAATGAACGTCTTCTTCGACGCGAATTACGTCGAGTCGGACACAACGAAGATTCGGTATGCCATTTCGATGTTAAGGGGCCCCGCCATGGACTGGTGGCGAGTCATCGTGACGTCGCCACGCGCCTACGAGCCACCGTCGCAAGAGGAAGGGCCCACGGGTCCAGCTGTCACCTGGAGTTCATTCTGCGAGACCGCCCAATATAACACGTGGGATGCGTGGTGCGCAGGGCTTCGGGCGCGCTTCGAGCCGATCGCGGCTTCTATTTCGGCGCGTCAGAGATTGCGCACTTGGCGGCAGCTCGGGTCGGTTCAAGATTACACGAGCGGTTTTCTCGCACTTTGCGAGCAGGTCGGCTACATGCACAAAGCAGAGCGGGTGGACCGTTACGTCGGAGGGCTGAAGCCGGATATCTCGCACGAAATCATGGTGCGCGGACTCTCGAACTTCATCGAGATTCTCGCGCTCGCCGAGAAAATCGACATTCTACGTCGACCGAGACCGGGGTCCTACTACGAACATCGTCCTCGGGGACCGATCGAGCACACCACTGTAAACGCTGTTGCAACGAATGCAGCTGCCGCACCGTTTAAGGGGCGCTGCTTTGCTTGCAACAGGCCGGGCCATCGCAAGAGCGAATGCCCAGAGGAGCTAAGGCGCCGCGGAGCAGAGCAGGGGGGGGAGTCTCGCAGGCAGGGAAACGCCAGCAGTCAGTAGAAGTTGGGCCAACTACTAACGAGACTACCTGCTCGCCCAACCACACCGACCCTCACCGAGTGACAGTACCGATTCACGCCATCGATCGGGCTCGGATGAATAAGGAGGGTACAGCGACGGATTGCCCAGTACTGATCCACGGGAAAATACAGGGAGCAGCAGTGAAGGTTTTTATCGACGGAGGAGCAAGCCACAGTCTAGTTAATACCGCAACCGCACGAAAACTACAGCTAACACTTAGCCGTTGCTTACCGGAGATAGACGCACGCTTAGTCGACGGCACGCCGCTAGCCATACGGGAAAAGGTAGAGCGAGTCAAAGTCCGTTGCGGGGGAAATTTCGGATTTACACAGGAAATGCTCGCAACGACACTGGATGGGCACGATATTTTACTAGGACGTGATTGGCTGCGACGGTATAACCCGCGAATTGACTGGACGACGGGTAGCTGCACCGTGCAAAGTAGTGGTAACTGGGTCGAGCTACCTCGCTGGCAGTCGCCCGAGTCTTCAACGGTCCACGTCAACGCCATCACGATGAAACGGGTTGTCGCCGCTGGAGCTGACGTGTACGCAGTAGATATAGCATTAGTGAGAGAAACGGAGCAGCCGAGCGATTTTCAGAAACTGTTGGCAGTAGTACCGCCCGAACTACAGGAACTGTTGAAACGGTACCCTGGGATTTTTCCAGACGACTTACCGGAAGGGCTGCCACCTGAGCGGGCGCATGATCATAGGATCGAGTTAGAACCGGGGGCGCAGCCAACTGTACAGCGCCAGTTCAGACTGACTCAGCCCGAGCTCGACAAACTAAG